ATGGCTTGGAAGCAGTAATTTGTAACACATTCCTTCACACAGGCTTAGGTTTTGTTTCATTAGTTGGTCTAAAGGCAATTTTTCTAAAACAAAAGGTGGAAACTAACTCACACACCACCTCTTTCAAGGATATTCAAATCTTTTTGTGCAGCAAGCCTGAACAAAACAAAATAACAACAATAATCTATACAAAAATATAAACATCAACTATTTCAAAATAACTAAACAAAATCTCAATTAAATGCATTCTCGACTGAGTAAAAAATTAAAATAGTTTTGAGTTAAAAAAAAAATAAAATTTTCTTCCAATATTACTTTAAACTTTTATGTAAAAATCGATTATTTACACATTTCCTTTACAATAACATTAAGGGTTATTCAAATTGTTGTTTTTGATACATAAAGGGGTCCCGATGCCCATAATACAGCTGTTATTAAAATCAGCTGATTGGAATTGAAATTGCCACTAAGTAAATGTGTCCAATACAAATATGTGGACCCTCAAGTAATCCAATTACCGAAATTACTCTTGCTCTCAGTTATCGAATATCATTTAGCAACAATTTGTTACAAATTCTTACCCGTTGGCACATCCCTTCTAAAATAACCTACACAAAAACTTGACGTATCACCATTTAAAAAAAATAATAATGAATCATTTCGGTATGATAATTTGTTAACAAAAAAAAAAATTATAACCAAAATTTAGTTGGAAATTTCTCAATGAGAACCTAAAATAACACATTACAAAGAATTTGGTTTAAAAACGTGCCCAAAATACCGAATATTGGGTGTTCCGTTATAGGAGGCTATATCAGAACGTTGATCAATGTCTCTACTTCTAATATGCCAAATATCATTGGAGTTGTTTTCTGCTAACTCAAATGCTTTAAGTTAGCAGAAAACAAAATATAAAAAATGGGTTTCGATTTTAATCCTACCACCAAATACCTCAAACATTTATACATCTACTCATTTTCTATAATTTAACTGCGACCTAAAAACGCTTCTCCTTTTTATTACTGATTACACTGCCATCGATTTACTTAAACAGAAACATGTCACCTCAATCCTACTAACCTATAGAATACCGACAAATTAAATACTTGCTAATAAAATGTCGGTCGCTTAAAATGGCATAGCTCATATAAATATTTGAATATTTCAACCAATTTAATTATAGATATAAACCTAAAATATATATTTTTAAAATTTTCCAAAACTTCTCCCATTATCACCTTTAATTTAAGAGCAAAACTTCGTTAGCATTTCCTCTTGCAGGTGAGTGTTTTTATATTATTTTAAATTTACAATTCTAGTTCTACTTAATTTACTTACCAGATTTGCCGGACTTCCCGCCCACACCTCCGCAATAAGTACAGCAGTAAGTTTTAGACTGCACCGTTGTTAAAAGCACCGCATAAAGTATTGTAGCCAGCTCCCTTTTTCGTGAAAACTCAAACAGCTTTTGTTCCTTAGAAATCATGCTGTGTACTTCACAATATTGCAATTTTGGACCCACACTCCAAGTGTGTGTGTTTGAGAAAGACAAAGGGGAGGGAATGTAATTCCCTTTGGTGCCTTTCAACACACAGTATGGCTACACATTGAAGTCACGATAACAGATGCATTGGACAGCAGCAGCCACATTATGTTATTGTTGCTTTTGTTGTTGCTATTTCAACACCATTTAATCTTCTAAATGAATTGTACTGCCATTGTTGGCCAATATTTTTTTCTGCTGGCCATAATGATGATGGTGGCTAAAAGAATGAAAAAAAGTTGTTTTGTTTCATTAGATTTAATCTTCCAAATAGGCATTAAAGTTAATAATATTGAAATATTTATTAATATTGCCGTAATACTATAAGGTTTATGAATTTTCAAACATAATAGCGGAATTCACAAATTGTTGTTGTAAATATACAAATCTTTTAAATGTACTAGGAGTTTTTTCACTAGTGTAAGTGGGCGTTTTGTGAGGGTCTACGATCCGAAACGACTCAATACTTACTCGGCCAACGTCTGTCACCGCAGTCCATTGTAGAAAAGGAATAGGGCTGCTAGAACAACATGATGCTCCTGCAAACATTCTAACGGCATCCAAATTCATCGTCACTCTATCTTATTTTCAGTTTTATTACCCTTTTTTCTGAAATATTATTATTTTATTATTTTTATATTTTCACAAAAAAACACTGACAAAAAATAAAACTCAAATCAAAGTGACGGCAAAACAATCAGCTGTTCTAGGCCCTTGTAAAAATAATAAATGCGTTCGTTTACTTCATAATTTGTACAAATTTGTAACTGGATGTTGTTCATTTGCGCAAGAGTCCAGTAAAAGAAAGCGAATTAAAAGAGACAAATTTTGACAGTTGTGTTACTGAATCTTTACTGATTCTTACTGGAAAAATTTACCCAGTAAAGATTTTACAGTAGCATCAGCTGATACTGTAACAGCTGTTTTGTTATAATTTGTAAACAATCAAACAAAACAATTTCAAAAAACTTGAATGTTGGTAAAGTTTCTTTAATTTCGTATCTTTAAACAATTTTTCAAAGAAAAATTACACATTTTTATACGTACCAAACATGTTGTTGTTGTAATAAGCTGTAGCAAAAATTTTATAATAGAGGTAATTTAGTTACATTATCTTGACATTTTAATAAAAGAACCGACTAGATAATCAAATATCTATCTAAGGAGATTTTTTATTCTTTAGGTTAGGTTGAAAATTAGAACACATTATGCCTCTCACAGGGCTTTTTGATTCCTTAGTATTTATTAAAAAAAAAAAATAAAAACGACATTTTATATTAGTATCCTGGATTATTTTTGTACAAATCTCAACACTATTCATATAGATCTCAAATATAAGGTTTTTCTGAAACAGCATATAAAGCCTGGCGTATGTTTTAATATTTCCTCTTCAATATTTTATTTTATTACTAGGTAGCCAAAAATAGTCTCGTTTTTGGCATATAACTCAATTATCGAACTAATAATCTACTTAATTATTTAATAACTACATATGGAGCAAACAATGTCACTACATGCAGATGATTTTATAACCCCACTATATTTGTAGCCAACACCAACTATGAAATCTGAAGGAAATTGTTTCAAATCATGTTTGTATGTGTGTTTTACCACACCCCGTCATTTATCGTAGTTTTTAACATTAAATACTCTCTTAAAGCCAAATTATTTTGGCACACTTCAGCTATTACCACAAACAAACAAAATATCCTGTGTTATTCTAGCTAAGCATAAGACAAAAACATTATGTTTTTCATTATAACTATTAATACTGTTGTTGTTGTTTTTCTGCTTCCCATTTTTCCCACACATTTTCCATGTGTAGTATATGTACAAGCCATAATCCTAAGCATGTTCGGAATGGTCACCAAGGTGGTATTTATAAAAAGCCTAATTGCAAAATTGTATACATTTCCCTCTTAAGGACCTTTTAACCATACACGTGACCGTAAGATTCGGGCATGCATGCGTGTGTATGTGTGTTTCATCTTTGACAATAGTTTTGGTATGAAAGAAAATCCCAAATACTTATTCCTTTAGTTTAAGTGTGTGTGCAAGTGTGTGTATTTGCCACCATCTTCATCTGTCCACAAAATGTGTTTTGTTAATTGATATAATGACATAACATTCATATCTATTTGTCCATTTGTTATTGTTGTTATTATTACTATTATAGATGTTGTTGCTGTTTTTGTTTTGGGATAATTGGAATGGTGTTGTTGACCACCAAATGAAAATCTAAATAAATGTCACTTTCATAATTAAGCAGGACGAATGACACATACTTTCTTAAATGGTTACTTTTGGTAGTATATATAGGAGGGTCCTTTGGCAAATAAAGGAAATGAAGACGTATAATATGTTAGGAGGGTCCTTTGGCAAATAAAGGAAATGAAGACGTATAATATGTTATGGATGTAACTAATTCGAATGATATATTCATTTCCATGATAGAAATGCTACATGGAGGCAGTATCAGGACAGAAATCTATATGAATTGCAATTTTTGTTCCTTTCTGCTAAAAACATAAACAGTATCAGGACAAACATCTATGTGAATTACAATTTTTGACCCTTTCTGCTAAAAATCTAAATATTATATAACTATGCCCTCCGTTGTAGAAGTGTTATGGGAAGGGAAAAAGTATATTTTCTTATAACTTTTATACATTATTTTATTTTGTTAAAAATCATTTTTATAAACCTATAAAAAGTTAATCAAGTCCAAATAATAGGTATACAAATATTCGTCAATATTCTCCATATTATATGCCACTTGATTATTTTTACAACTATTTATTAACACTAGAAAGACGGGAATTTTGTATATACCTATATTGCCTAAAATCGGTCAAAATGACTTCATTCTGAAAAATGTTTTATTGTGTAAAGAAATTTTTTTAAACTATTTTTTTAATATTTGTTACATTATTTACAACCATACAAAACGTTGTTATTATTTGTTTTCGGTGGTAGGGCTCTCGGGTTTCCCCTTTTGAAAAATAAGAGCGCGGACAAAACGTTCGAAAAAAGAGGAAGACTTTACTCTAAGAGTGAAATCGACTGGAAATATAAAATTAATTTTTCCCGATTTGTGTGTTCGTATGTGTTTCTAGAGTAGCAAACGGGTTTCGATGTTGTTGTACCGATCTGGTCATATAAGAAATTTACTTTATACAGTAATAAATGTAGTTTGATTATTTAATATTTCAAAAAGGTCAAAATGACCGCTTTTAGGCTATTTAGGTATAGCACATGTGAATACGGGGAATGAAAGAGGGGAGGAAGCAGCTACTATGATTAATAAACGTAGTTCTATGTGGTAGAAAAAGTCACCAAATTTTAAAAAGCTGAGTCATAATATACACAATTGTTTTTGTACTTGAAATTTAAAAACCGTCAAAATGACTGCTCTCGGCAATCTAGTGTTAACTAAGCTTCAACTTTGACTCAAACATCAATTCTTCTTCTTTTTATTTTTTAGCGCACTTCCCTTGGCTTTTCTCTTTGAACCCGCCTTAGACACTTCTTTCACAGGTTCAGGTTCTTCATCACTTTCATTTTCTTCAGCCTCACTGGTATTCTCTGCGTCATCATCCTCCTCTTGGTCTTCATTTTCATTGTCACTAAAAAATAATATTCAAATATCATTATTTAATTCCCTTTAATTTTAGTTTCAAATCTTACCATATTGTCTGCATATTATCAAACATATTTTCATATTCTTCATCCTCAGACACATCACCGGCATTCTTTTTTGTTTTCTTCTTATTTTTCGATTTATTTTGTTCCTCATCTTCCAATTCTTCGCCATCTTCTGTGGCATTTGGATTTTCCATAGATTCTCGTAAGAGGACTCGGGTAGCTTTTGACTTGACATAGCATTGATATAACATTACACAGGAATCGACATGATGTACACGGACATAACGATCCAAACAGGCAGAGACCAAATGTTTGCCGGAAACATCCAAATACAAGTCACTAATGCCACCCGTGAAACCTTTATAGGTGTGGACAAAGGTTTTCATGCGTCTTGTGTCAAAGGCCTACAAGTGAGACCAACAAATAATTAAATCTATGTTAAAAAATGATTTTATATTTGAAACCCACCTTCAATGCCCCCATTGTGGTACCGGTGTAAATGTAATTACCATTTGCCGCCAAAGTGGTAAAACTCATTTGATCTTCGGTGGCATAACACTGAACCGGACGCCTTTGTTTTCTTGTATCATAGACACGCACATAACCATACCGGGAACATGTTGCCAAGGTATGTGGAGAATCAAAGAAACCCACATCACAATCCCATACCGGCACCTCAAGTTGTAAATGATCATTGGGTAAATTTTTGGAGGTAAACAATTGTTTTCCCTCGGCAGACATATCAAACACTTTTAAGTTGTTTTGTCTGCCCTTGCCACCCACAGCAACAATATTACGATCACTGGGACATTGCCTTAAACGTGACATATCATCACCGATTTTATCCAATAGCAATTTGGGTTGTTCCTCATCAATATCACCATCATCTTTAAGGGCCAATGAACGTATGTGGCCATTACCAAAGCCAGCAATAACACAATTATCATAACGAGCCAAACCAACAATGGGTGACTCCTCAAAGTCTATGGTGTATTGTGTGTGGCCAGTACGAACCGAATGTACCTGGGCAGTGGACTTGCCACGACCAATAAGTATTTCAGATTTATTCGAATTGGCAAAGCTCAACGATGTTATGCGAGAATCTTTATCCAATTCATTGAGATCTTGCAGGTTGGATTGCTTGAATGGATTGTCTTCATAGGCAGGCAATAATTCTGTAAAATAGGCGAGTTTAAAATTAAATTTTTAATGGGAAAATTTTATATTTACTTACTTTTAAAGGTTCCCGTTTGGGTGCCCACATAAATTTCATGATTTTCTGTGTAATTGGGGCTTTTTAAATTAGATGTTGTCCACTTCATTCTGGAAAGAAATGTCGATGTTTCTCGCCCAGCAAATGATATGAAATAAACAGAGAATTTTTTGTTTCCACGTGCCTTCAAAAGAGTATTTGACAGGCCAAACAACAACCGCTCTCTTAAACAGTGTTGTCAACTTAGGGGTATTTTTGGTGAAAACAAAAATTTATGCACAAAAACTGCACACACTTTTAAAAATTAGCACAATTACTAGGCATGAAGAGGCACAAATTTGAATTAGATTTTTTTTAACTTAATAAATAATAATAAACTGAACTTAATTAACAATAATTATTAGTTCAAATATACATGCCCTAGCAAGTGATTGCTAATTTTCTCTTATTTACGCACTGAACACAGCATACTCTCTTTGATGGCCATACTCAACACAGCGTTGTCCATCAAAACAAACAAATAAGAGACTAGCTCACATTCAGTGAACAAATCTTTTGAACATTTAGTCTATTTAGGGACTTTTGTTTATAAAATGTTATGTTAATAATTAAATAAAAATTTTATGAAATAAAAAAGTAAAAAAAATAACCATTTATATACATAAATTAATCATTTAATAACCCTTCGTGCAGCGGAAGAGGAAAAATCAACGATACCGGCAACATTGTTTACAAAAACAAAAACTACACACAAATCCTTTCGGTGAACAGTTCAACTACACATCGTGGGTCGTTATGGCTTTACAAAAAGTCCGGGATCATTATCTTGGAGGACGCCATCGAGCACAGTTGTGTAAAACTATTCGTTTCGTGTGTGTCTTAAAGAAAAACTGTACTTTAAATTAACAAGCAAAGTTAACTGCGCATTTTGTGTATAAGTGATTTGGTCAAAGAGACCTCCCTTTATGGGAAAGTCTGCAAGCAATCGTCTTGTGTGAAAATAAACTTTTAATGTGTTTTTTATCGTGTTTATGAACTTTTAAATAAAAGGAAAGAATTAAAAAAAAAAAAAAAAAGACAAAGACAAAGAAAAACTTGTGTTCGTGATTTTAACCACGCGAAATTTTGATTTTAACCACCTGAAATTTTTTTCGCTCGTTGTGGTGAAGCGTAAACTGAATTTGGCAATCGTTGAAATGAATTATGGCAGCATTGCCATTGGAAAAAAGGAAAAAGGAAAAAATTGTCGTATCAAAAGCATAGACTGTGAATTTAAATCAATTATATGTGTTTTTCGTTTGTGAATGTGACTTTTGTCATCTCGTATAAAATTGTGGCGTACATCAAAAGCTATAAACTGTATCTTAATAAAGACTAGTAAAGAAGGAAGTGCCGTGGCAGAACTAGTTCCTGGAGGAACATATTCTAATCCTCAAGCAAAAGAATAATTTGTGTTGTCCAGTGAGGTTATATGTGACACCCAAAGGGTTGTCAAGATCACGTGTTTTTTGTGCATTGAAAAATAGAGAGAAGAATAAATTGGTGAAGCCAAGCCAAAGATCCCGTTATAGCGGTACCGGCTATCACGTCTTCCTTTTTGGTTGGCGGTGTAGCGTGGGTATACACACACAAGTAGAGCAAAGAAGTGCGATCAAGTGAGAGGGAGATAGCAGCTTCAACATGGAGGAGGACGTAGTCCTCCCCCCACCACCTTTGCCGTCGAGTGAAGCGGCGGCAACTAGAAGTAATCGAAACAGAAGTCGAAGCAGAAGCAATACAAGAAACAGCAGTACCAGCATAAAAAAGAAGCGCTATGAAACGGAAGAAAATCAAGGAAAAACAACCATTTCATGTGATGACAAAAAAGCGCATAGCCAGAGTGTAGTTATGGGAAGCATCGTTACAGGTGAGTCCTCGCTATCTGGTAGTCAGGCTAACAAAACTAACTTTCATATTTTTTACGATATGGACCACAAAGGCCCTTACGTGGTATATGTGGATAAGATACAAAAGGAAAATGATCGTTCGGGAATAAATACAGTAAATCTAACCAGATATATAGTCAATTTTAAGATCCAAGGTGTTCTGGAAGTAAGGAAGATTGGGTTTGGCAGAGCGAAGGTCACCCTTAAAAGTGCCTCAGCTGCCAACCTTTTAGTAGGTAATGAACAGTTGGTTGAAAAAGGTTACCAACCAAAAATTTTTACACATTTCATATCAAAAATAGGAATAATATTTGGAATTCCAACAGACATACCTGATGAGGAGCTGGCAGAGGCCATTAAATCTGACATAGCAATTTTAAAAATGCACAGGGTGACGAGGATGGTGGAAGGCACACGGGTGCCCACCCAAAGAGTCAAAATATGGTTCAAGGGGCTTGAATTGCCACAAACAGTCAGAATTTACGAATATCATAAAACGGAAGTAAAACATTTTATTCAATTTGGCAGATGTTATAGGTGTTACCGCCATGAACACACGGCGGAGCATTGCAAGCAGAGACTGGAGTCATGCAAAAGATGTTTTTCCCCACACGAAAAGGACCAGCCTTGTGCTGAGAAGATCATATGTGTAAATTGTAAAGGTGATCATAACCCGTTGGAAAAAAACTGTCCTGCGAGACAGCGTGCGTATGAAATGAAGAGAATTATGACAGTGGAGAACCTATCCAGGAAGGAGGCGAGGGAAAGGTACGCTGGACATTTTAACAGCTTTAATATCCTGGCAGACAATATAGACTCAACTTTTCCAACTTTAGACGTAGCGCATAGAAAGCAAGGCGAAACAAGGGGTAAAACAATTGACAATAATGCAGCATCAGCGAACTACATACATGCTAAAAGCTCATTTGCCAAGGTTACTAAAAATAACAGAAATCAGCAGAGAGAAAATGAGAATGCGAGAAGAAATATGCAGGAGTATAGAGAAGCGTTAGAGGAGGGAGAGATTTATAGATCACCTAATGGATCAGTGATCCGAAAAACGCAGGAAGTGTTAGACTCACTCCTAAATAGCGTAAATGAGCTTGCCTCTCAGAAATTTAAATTTTCTCTTATTAAATTCGACTCTGAGGATGAGGTAATAGGCATTTCTATATTAAACTCAAAAAATCCCTTTAACCTAGTAGTTATGTATATCCCCCCCAATACTAACAGGAATATGTTTATTGATATGATTACCAATCTTTTTCAGACAATAAATGCTTTAAAAAACCCAACGCTACTTGTTGGAGATTTTAATGCGAAGTCTGTATTATGGGGTAACACCCACACAGATCCGCAAGGTGATGTTTTGGCTCGTTTTGCTAATATAAATAATTTTTCCTGCCTCAATTCTGGTGAACCAACGTTTGTCTTGAACAACACTCATTCAACCATTGACTTGTCTTTCTTAAATAGCACGGCGCTACAAACCTCCTGGCAAGTAAGGCAGGATAAAATAACAAATAGTAATCACCTACCAATAATTATACAAATTGAACGGTTTTCAGTAGGCAATAGGAAGATCATTCTCAAAAAAAGGCTT